GGTGAATCTCGTAGGTTTGTTTGTAAGTTTCTTTTTAAGACGACTGAAGGATTTTGAGCTGAGTTAAAGTTTGTGACGTGAAAATGGGTCAAAATCGCCATAAAATCTGACTTTTTCAAAGCTGCAAGTGTCACGGCGAAACAGAGGGAGGAGCCAAAACGCACGACTGCTCTTAAAGATCTTTAATAGAACAAAGAACGAACCAAAATCCCACATGGACACGGATACTGGAGCCACAAAGTCCAGAGGAGGACACAGAGTTTAGAAGCTCACAGGAACGAGACACAGAAGAAACACATGAGGACCACACAGTCACATACCCTCTGTAATACCCCACACAGTCACATATCTCCTCTGTAATTAAACCCAACAGAACTTTCTGGTCCAAAACAGTCAGGTCCAAAGTGAAGAACTGTCCCAGTCCAGTCGCTTTGGCCTCGTTCAGTTTCTGTGTTTCCAGTTTTTATTTGAGTCCATTTCAACAGAGACACTGAAGCTCCATTTTGTTCTTTTTTCTCTTGATCTTTTGTTCTCATTGTTGTGTCGTCATCGTGGGACAAGTCCAGTTTCTGGTTTAGTCCTGGTCAAGTCCTGGTTGAGTTCTGGTCAAGTCCTGGTTTAGTTCTCATTTAGTCCTGGACAAGTCCTTGTTTAGTTCTGGTCTAGTCCTGGTTTAGTTCTGGTCAAGTCCTGATTTAGTCCTGGTCTAGTCCTGGTTTAGTTCTGGTTCTTTCCTGTTTTGTCTCGTCTATTTCACCAGAGTCACAGAGGAACCTTCTTGATTCAGTCCAAACCCTGGAAACAGAGGCTCAGAGAAGGACGAGGAGAAAGTCCAGATGTGGAACAGTTCTCCATCAGAGGAGACGTGATAGAAGGACAGAGATCCAGCCTCAGAGTCCAGGAACACGCCCACTCTGCCTGAGGACACGCCCCTTTTACCAGAGGACACGCCCCCTTCACCAGAGGACACGCCCCCTCCCTCTGAGTGACAGGAGCGGTGGAGTCGTGTTGTGATGCTGTTGTGATGGACATAGTATTCTCCATCATAGATCCCCAGACTCCAGGAGTGATCATTGTGTCCAAACTCACACTCTCTCCTCCTCGTCCTCTTCGTCTGATCTTTCTGTAACTCACTGATACATCAACCTCCCCGCTCCAGTCCACCTGCCAGTAACAGCGCCCCCTCAGGTCAGTGCAGCTCAGGACCTGAGGGTAGTCTGTGAACCTGTCGTCATGATCTGGATACTCCTGCCACTCCTTCACTCGAGTCACAGTGTGATGGTCGTCAGACAGAAGCAGACGTCTGTGAGCTGAGTTTGTGTCCAGAGAAACGAGACACGAGTCTGAAACACAAACACTTCACCTCATTCTTTTGTTCTGACTGACTCTGTGTTTACTGCACCTGTCACACACCTGTCACACACCTGTCACACACCTGTCACTCACCTGTCACACACCTGTCACACACACTGCCACACACACTGTCACACACCTGCACACCTGTCACACCTGTCACACCCTGTCACATACACCTGTCACACACCTGCCACACACCTGTCACACACCTGTCACACACACACACTGTCACACACACACCTGTCACACATCACCTGTCACACACCTGTCACACACACCTGTCACACACACCTGTCACACACCTGCACACACCTGTCACACACCTGTCACACACCTGTCCACACACACTGTCACACACACCTGTCACACCTGTCACACACCTGTCACACACCTGTCACACACCTGCCACACACTGTCACACCTGTCACACACTGTCACACACTGTCACACACTGTCACACACACTGTCACACACCTGCCACACACCTGTCACACACCTGTCACACACACAACACTGTCACACCTGTCACACACACTGTCACACACCTGTCACACACACCTGTCACACACACCCTGTCACACACACCACCTGTCACACACTCACACACACCTGTCACACACACTGTCACACACACCTGTCACACACCTGTGCCACACACCTGTCACACACACCTGTCACACTGTCACACACTGTCACACACCTGCCACTCACACTTCACTGTCACACTGTCCACACACCTGTCACACACCTGTCACACACCTGACACACACCTGTCAACACACCTGTCACACACACCTGTCACACACCTTCACACACCTGTCACACACACTCACACAACAACACACACCTGTCACACACACACACAGTCACGCACCTGACACACATCTGTCACACACACCTGTCAAACACCTGTCACACACACCTGTCACACACCTGTCACGCACCTGTCACACACTGTCACACACACTGTCCCACCACACAGGCCACAGCCACAAAGACTGAGGACAGAGAGGGACATTAGAGACTAGAACCTCCACACAAGACTTTAAATACAGTCTGGACTCACAGGGCTTTGGTGGAGGCTCTGACCACCGGCAGCAGACCCAGGAGTGCGTTCTCTGAGGCCTGGTATTTCCTCAGGTCAAACTCTTCCAGGTCTGAGTCTGAGGACAGTAAGACGAAGGACAGAGCAGACCACTGAGCAGGAGACAAGGTTCTATCAGAGAGGTATCTTCTCATGTTCTTCTGTATCTCCTGCACCAGACTTTGGTCATTGAGCTCGTTCAGACAGTGGAGCAGGTTCAGACTTCTCTCTGCAGACAGACCCTCTTCATCCAGCTTCTGTTTGATGAACTTTACTGTCTCCTGATTGGTCGGGTCACTTCCTGTGTGAGTCAGCAGACCCTGCAGCAGTTTCTGATTGGTCGGCAGAGACAGCCCCAGGAGGAAGCGCAGGAACAGGTCCAGGTGTCCGTTTGGACTCTGTAAGGTCTGGTCCACAGCAGAGCGGTAGAAGGCCTCAGGGTCTGGACTCTCAGAGGAGTGTGGTGTCTCCAGCACGTTCTCTCCAGAGCTGTAGAAGGTCTGATGGACGTGAAGAGCAGCCAGAAACTCCTGCACACTCAGATGGATGAAGCAGTAGACCTTGTCCTGGTACAGGCCTGGCTCCTCTCTAAAGACCTGTGTAAACACTCCGGAGTACACTGAGGCCGCTGCAGCGTCCAGCCCACACTCGCTCAGGTCACTCTCGTAGAAGATCAGGTTTCCTTTCTGCAGCTGCTCAAAGGCCACTTTTCCCAGAGACTTCACCATCTCCCTGGTCTCTGGAGTCCAGTGAAGGTCCTCCCCTGATCCCTGGTGATACTTGATGTTCTGGACTTTGGCCTGCACCACCAGGAAGTGGACGTACATCTGTGTGAGAGTCCGGGGCAGCTCTGGTTCTGTTTGTTCTAGAACATTCTGTATAACCTTGGAGAGGATCCAGCAGAAGATCGGGATGTGGCTCATGATGTGGAGGCTGCGGACGCTCTTGATGTGGGAGATGACGGCTGCGGCCTGGTCTCTGAACCTCTTCCTGAAGTACTGCTCCTTCTGCGGGTCGGCGAACCCTCGCACCTCTGTCACCATGGAGACGCAATCAGCAGGGATCTGATTGGCCGCGGCGGGGCGCGTGGTTATCCAGAGGAGAGCGGAGGGAAGCAGGCTCCCCCTGATGAAGTTCACCAGCAGCACGTGCACTGAGGTGGACTCTGTGGGGTCGGTCAGGTCCCGGGTTCGGCTGAAGTCCAGAGGAAGTCTGCACTCGTCCAGACCATCAAAGATGAAAAGCACCTGGAGCTGTTGGAAGCTGCAGAGATCTTTGAATGGACTGAAGAAGTGGTGCAGCAGCTCCACCAGGCTGAACTGTGTGTCTCTGAGCACGTTCAGATCTCTGAAAGTGAAGGGGAACAGCAGCTGGCGGTCCTGGTGGGCCCGGCCTTCAGCCCAGTCCAGACTCAACTTCTGAGTCAGCACTGTTTTCCCCACGCCGGCCACGCCCTTCGTCTGCACTAATCTGATTGGCTGTGGTGAATGTGGGCGGGGTTTAAAGAGCTCTTCACATGTGATGGTCTCTGGAGCGGCCGGTCTTCTGGACGCCGTCTCCACGTGTCTGACCTCATGTTCCTGGTTGACCTCTGAGGCTCCGCCCTCTGTGATGTAGAGCTCTGTGTAGATCTGGGTCAGGGGGGCGGAGTCTCCTGCTTTAGCCACGCCCTCAAACACACGGCTGAACCTCTGCTGCAAATCACACTTCAGTTTATCTCTGAATCCAACTTTACTCACTTTAAACAACACACAAGAGTTAGAATTTCAAACATGTCACATATTTCATACAGGAGGAAATCTGACACACAGGGAGGGCACCTGACACACAGGAAGGGCACCTGACACCCAGGGAGGGCACCTGACACACACAGGGATACACACGGGAGGGCACTGACAGGAGGGCATGACACAGGAGGGCATACAGGAGGATGGGAGGGCATCTGGAGGTTCTTACTGTTGAGCAGGCGCTGGGCCAGATGCTCCTGGTCCATCCTCTTCAGGAAGTCCAGGGTGATGTTCAGAACCTCTCTGCTCTCCTCCTCACTCTCGGAGCATTCTGGGTAATCTGAGGCCAGGAGCCTGTGGAGCCTCTGCAGCTGCTGTTGGACAAACCTCAGGACCTTGCTCCTCCAGAACCTGGAACCACACACTGTGTGAAGAAGTGTTCTGAGTGTGACGTCACCCACAGCGCTCAGCTCCAAATGAAGTTCATGGAGGCCGGCACTTAGAGCGGCTCATCTTCAGCCAGAGCTTCGACAAACCATTATTCTCTTTTGGATTCATCTAGATGTTATTTTTTCCACTACAGTACAGTCCACACCTCCACACCTCTTCCTGTGGTTTGCTCTGAAAATGGATCTAGTGTTTTTATTTTGTGCTATTTAGTGTTAAACTAAAACATACGTAGAACTGCATTTTACATTTAGACTGTGAACTTTACATTTAGACTTTAACTTCACGTTTACACTGTTTGTTTGTTTTTTATTTTACATTTAGACTTTAACTTTTCATTTATATTTAAACTTTACATGTAGTTTGTAACCTTTAGATTTAGAGTGTAAACTTTACATTTAGACTGTAAACATTAAATGTGCTCTGTAATATTTACATTTACACTGTAAACTTTACATTTACTTTGTAAATGATAATTTTTACATTTAGGCTTAAAGTTTACATTTAGACCATAAACTTTAAACTTAGACTGTACACTTTAGATGCAGTCTGTAATCTTTACATTTAGAGTGTATATATTTATATTTTATATTTAGACTATAAACACACACATTTAGACTATATTTACACTTTGTTTTAAAGATTACATTTGGACTGTAAACTTTACATTAGTCATAGTCTGTAAAATGTACGTTTAGACTGGAAACTTGTGTGTGTGTGTGTGTGTGTGTGTGCGTGTGTGTGTGTTGTTTGGTTATGTGGGGTCGGGCAGCTGTGGGGGCTGGGTCAGTGGGTGGGTGGAAGGAAATGTGGGATTGTTTTTGATCACTGTAAAGCACTTTGTGTTACATTTTTGTATGAAAAGTGCTTTATAAATCAAGTTTGATTTGATTTGATTTACCAACAATTCAGGAGACCAATTAGTCCTACTCCTTTCACGATAATTCATACCTTAAAATAAATATTCATATATAATACACACGTATCAATAAAACATAAACATCCAATTATACAAATCCCCACCATTTCTCTCAGAATACAAAAATATACATTTTTTGTTAACCAAGCACCCCCGGAAACTCTCCACTTTTCAAAGTTACCACCTGGAACCAATATAAGCCAGATGAGGTCTATCAGAGATCTTTTGACAGACACCACCCAGAAGATGTCTCCGCAACCACTCCAAGCCGCCCGCTTCCATTGGTAAGTTTTATACTTGTACCTCCACTTTTATCCTTTTTTGGGATTCAGGACTTGCTAATTACCAACTGCCTGTCCTTTACAGCATGGCCGATCGACTCCAACGTGGTGCTCCCGACCTCACACAACCAACCACCAAGCCCCTGATCCACAACGTTCACAAACAATATTTTACTTTTTTTAAGCCTTTATAAATATAATAAAAATGTCCATACAACATACTGTATATATTTGTATCACTTTATTGAAAGTCATTTAAAATTACCGTGACAGGACTCCATTGTCACACTCCTCATCAATTTTTTACCTTTAAATAATTTTTTTCTCATAAAAAATTGTGATAATTTGTTTTCTATTCAAACAAATAGTCTAATATCTTCCTCCAAAGTCTGAGCGCCAAACCACATTCTTTTACTGACAGACGATTGGCTGTGGACCGCTCCATTAAAAACACCCAAGCTGATCATTGCCAATTGGACTCACATTCACAACAAAATTTGATTCATTACATAAATTGTGCTGTTGATAACATATTAATTGCAATAAAACTAACTGAAAAGGCACTTACTCCCTCTGAAACTCTGTTACTCTAATCCAAGTTTTGTTTTAAAATAATCTAACCATAAAGAACTGACATATATAAAATTTGTGCTGTTAAACAAGTTTCTCACAAATAAATTTACAATCACATAGCCAGCAGTTTTTCAGTTGGTCACTCTTATCTTTTTTGCTGAAAATCAAACTCCTACACAGCTTCATGAACGCTTGTTTTGATCACAGGCTCCTGAAATTGAGTTGTTAAAATCCATTTCATTCTATCATTCCTTCATT